AAAGAGCCAACGCTCTCCGAAGATGTCTCTGTGATCATATGGCTGGCATGACTAAACGCTGAAGGCGCACGGAACGCTGTTACCTTCCCACCAAAGGTGGTTCCTATTTTTCTACATGCTTTACATGCTTTCGAACTGCTAGATTGGCAGAAGCTGGGACAAGTAACGGGAGCTCACTCTGTTACGCAGCACTAGGGATTCAAACCGCCAAACTGCCGACCTTTCTGATTGACAAGCTCAGCGTCTTAGCCACTGAGCCACCGCGTTCCTGTAAGGTACTACAGAGTTATAAAATCGGAGGGTCTCTATTTCTCATACGTGGCTTACATAAAGACATAGAATAATTCTTCTGGTACAACAGTGGCAATGGGAGCTTGGCTATTCATCTGCTCTTTAGATAAACTTTGGGCTTTTGAGTTACTCCATCCCGTTTGAGCTCTTTCTATCATGCAACATAGAAAGAAAGACCATTGAATTTCTTGGCCAAGCAGGCATGCAGATAAATCTTTGCTGAAGCAACAAACTCCCATTCTAACCACTCCAGTAACACATTTTCTTTGCTCCTTCTCTCAAACAGCCCCTTGTGCGCAGGAGTAAACCTTTAAGATGTCTCTCACCAATAGAAGGCAAGTGAACACTTCATCGCTGAAGAAAATCGCTGCCGACATGAGTAACTTAATCGAAAGTCTGGACTCGAGGGAGCTGCATTTTGAAGGGGAAGAATTGGATAGTGATGTGGTACATGATCCAAAAGCTCCTGGTAAGTCAATAGCACAAGCGTATAGAATGCTTTTTTGAAACCCAGGTGTTCTTTTTAAAAAGAAGGTTTAGGGGGAAGAGAAATCAAATGTGATTGAATTACACTGAATCCAGGAATTTTGAGTGGAGCTTTGATGCTCTCTGTGAAGTCTTCAGCAACCATTCTGCCTGATATTTCTAGGTTTCCTGTACTACTGTAACTAACAACTAACCTCCTCCTTTTACTAACTAAAAACCAAAAGTCTATATTTAATAACTCCAAAAGCTGGTTTTCTTTTAAACAAGGGGGGGGAGAATTTTTCAAGAGATGAAACCTCCCCAACAGATGACAGAAAGGTCTTCTGGTCATCAAAAAGGAAAAGTTTGAAAATTTGGATCCAATTTTCCCCCCTTTTTTGATAACGGGGTTATGGGGGGAATGGGAGGTTTGAGGTCCAAAAGACTTGCAGTCCTATTCCTTCCCTTATTTTTTTAGTTTAAATATGAAACTGAAAATTTAGCCCTCTTGACCCTGGGTTTCAAAGATGACATCTCACACTGGCTTTGGGAACCAAAAAAGGAAGTGCTGGGCGGCACATGGCTTATGGGTTTATCCACTCCTGTTTTTAGAAGGCTTGGAGTCAAGTTGTACACAGTTCATGAGGAAGCAAAGAAGTATACTGCTAAATTCTGAATTTTTTTATTGGATAATGTTTTGTTTTAATTGTTGAAGTGCTCGTACTGTACTGATTTGTTATGTGTGTATGTGTGATAGAGAGAGAGAGGGAGAGAGCGAGAGAGAGAGCAGGGGGGAGGGATGTTGATGGTTGTGGTATGGTTTTCTATCAGTTTTGGTGGCACTCTTGTCAAAACTGGTGGAGGCTTCATATATCTATAGATGTGTATGGATGAATGGATGGATGGACGGAGGGATGATAGATAGAGATAGAAATATATATATTTGAACGCTCTACCAGTTAAGATGGATGGATGGATGGATGGACGGANCAACTGCAGTGATTCAACTAACTTATCAACTGCAGTGATTCAATTAACAATGAATGGCAAGAAAGGTTGTAAAATGGGGCAAAGCTCACTTGACAAATGTCTTGCTTAACAACAGAAATGGGGGGGCTCAGTTGTGGTTGTAAGTCGAGGACTACCTATACATGATCAAAACATCAGAAATCTAGTGCGTGCAGCCACTGGTATCCCATACACATCTGATTTTTACTTGGTCAATAGCCTTCCTTCTTGAACTTTTGCTTCGCTAGCTGGAGGATTCTGGGATTTGAAGTCCAGCCCTCTTTAAGTCACCGTCTCCTCTCCATTCTCCGTGCTCAGGGATTAGGGGGGGAGGCGGTAATTGCTCATTGTCGGAAATCTGTCGCTCCTCTTCTCCGCTGCTTGCCCTCTCCTCCTTCTTTGCTTGGTCAGTCTGCCACCTCTCTCCTTTGCTGCTGACCCTTCCCAGGCCCAAGGGATCTGGGACTGCTTCATCCTGCTCCTCCAGTCATTCCTCTAGCTCTGTTTCATCCTCTTCCTCGAACCCAAGTTCCGATGGGGCCATGACATGTGTTTGTATCATAGTGATGTCTGTTAGATGTTCAGTGATGTACATATTGAAAGAGAATCAGAAGTGTTCTCCAGAGAAAAGAGTTGGGTAAAATTAACAAGCATGCATTATAATTTTCTATTTGTATCACCTTTCTATCTCTATCAAGAAGCAAAATAAATATTTACTAGTCTTGTATCTCTCATGTGAGCGACATGGTAGCCTAGTGGTGAAGATGTTCACCTCCCACTCGGAGGAGTGAGAGTTCAATCCTAGTTAACGACGGATGTCTTGGGGCGCAAAGAAAAAATATCTGCTGAGAACTTGTCAGGAAGGACACCTGTATGAGCTCCATCCAGTCACCCCAACTCTACCCCAAATAGAGACTAGTAAAGGTAAAGGGTCTCCTCGCACATATATGTTAGTCGTTCCTGATTGTAGGGGGCGTTGCTCATCTCCATTTCAAAGGCAAAGAGCCAACGCTCTCCGAAGATGTCTCTGTGATCATATGGCTGGCATGACTAAACGCTGAAGGCGCACGGAACGCTGTTACCTTCCC